AATGTCTTTTTTTAGGAGCATCTATTATCTACTCAGCGTGCAGGTGCCTTTGTCTCAATGTTGTTTTTGCTGCCTTGCACCTGATGTAGTTTTGGGACGTTGATATTTTGTTGCTCCATAAAATGCAAAAACAATTTAGTGAAATTACTCGGGCACAGTTTGAGAACGAGAACAACCCGTATTTCTAAATGTTTGCTACATTTATGTGCACATCAGATGTTTTTCTCCCAAATGTGAAGTCGGATGCTCAGTTTTCACACATTGAATTGCTTTTCGGTGGGAAGTGAAAGGAAACATGGAGGTGATGAAGCACATAATGGCTTGTTTGGACTCCTTTTAATAGTTGCATGCCTGAGAGACCTGGCTAGTAGAGACAATAGATGCCTGTTTCATGTTCCTAGTCAGACTTTTGTAAATGTTTTGCACAATTGGAGTAGTTTCCACTGCCAACGAACACTGTGAAGTTGTAAATTTGTGTTAGATAATGCAACTTTGTCTAAGTTTGTAGTAAAGAAACTATTTTTTTTGGACATTCCCTCCATTCTCCTACAACTTGGTGCTTGGATGACTGATCATTTTCTATTTGCCTTTTAAAAGATTCATTTACATTTTAATTTTGAACCCTCTCTGCTTTATTTGAATAGAAATGAGTTGGCACTAAACTGCAGAGTCCATTAGTGAAATATTTAATAAATTGTTCGCTCAAATTGTCCTAAATCAAATTACAAATCATTCATTCATATTATTAATGAATCATGCATTCAATGTAATTATTTTGCTACCTTTATTCAATCATTCGGATCCTCAAATTGCTCCACGCATTTAAATGAATATTGCTCATTTGTCTCTGTCACCTTGACACTCACTGTAGCTCTGTTATATTTAATAGTTTTATTGTCATCTTATTTATCTTATTAAATACCTGGATATACGTCATTTTGGCAGGTGGTTGTTAAACAGCACATTACGATTGACATCCTGTACACATTAATATTTATCGAGATAACAGATTGTTGCTACTGCAGATGGTAAAGATATCTCTTTAAGCTTCTGGAAAACATAATGGCTACAAGAACGTAAATGGGGGCAACTGAATAATTAGCAAATTTAGCAATTAGCAACGTTAGGGTACAAATGATTATTTCTAAGGAGTAAGTTAAAACTGCAGGAGGTCAATTGTGAAATAAGTCACTCGTAATGAATCAACAGAGAATTATCTACCACCTCTGGGGACGTCTGTCAACTTTTTGTTTTGGTTTTACTTGACTGGTTTGGGTCAGACCCTCATTAGCATTGTTGCAGGCAGCTCTTCTAAACCCACTGTACTCAACCTGCTCAGCACCAAACAGCAGACAGACAGTTAGTAACAAGCATTTAGTCAGATGATACCATTAAGAGTTGGTGGAGACCAAAAACAGAGCTAAAAGACAGTTAATATTTGCCTTAAAGGGATAGTTCGGATTTTTAGTGGGGTTGTATGAGGTGCTTATCTATATTCAGTGTATTGCTTACGGTAGATGGCTGTTGGGTCACTGCCAGTTTGGAGAGACGCTAAGCAATACACTGCTGTCTATGGGAGTTTGTAGCAGAACATATTTTAGCCACTTAAAATCACTTAAAGTGGACGGTATATTGAGAATACTTTCACCACTTTACCTTTTCATCAGATAGCCCTTTCCTTTGGCACCAAATTTTCTCAACTTTGGAACTTCAGTATTCATAATTATCTCCCTCTTTCCGCCTGTTCGGTCTTCCTCTGCAAAATTTGTTCTCTGTACTCTGGTTCACAAAGTTACCCCTTTGTCTCCACAGTGAACGGCATTTCCTCGTCACTGACATAATCACAATGTTTTTGGGTTTTTTTGTATTTGTTGTCTCCCCCATAAACCGCTGAAAGTCTGGCCCAAACAGCTGACCTGCAGCACTGTTTCACTTATGCATAGGAATACGGATGTTTGACAGATGAGAAAATGTAGTCCCAAAGGAAAGGTGCTATCTGACGGCAAGTTGAAGCTGTAAAAATATTCTCAATATAGAATCCACTTAGACTGATGTTAATGTTTTAGGTCCCCCATCCACAGCAGCACATGCTGAGCTTAGGTGTTGGCACGTCTGTCTGCTTCTCCAAACAGGGACATGCCGACCTACATCTACTGTAAGTAATACACTGACTATAGATTAAGACCTCACATAACTCAGCTTCAGAATACCCAAAGTATCCCTTTAAAATCATCAGGTGACCAGAGGCACGACTCCAAATGAAAGCAAATGTTGCTCTGTATATGCTGAATGAGTGAATAAGCAACTGTTAACACGTTCATCATTAAAGATGACTTAAAGAGTTGGGTCAGGATTCTGTCTATGAGTCACTCCTTTTACATCACACAGTCATTTGATCCACTTTTCAAATAAAAATACTGATTACAGCGGTTTTAAATTACTGCAGGGATCAGAATACTGAATAACTTAATTAAGATTTGACTCCCTTTATTAAAAACAAAGCTCATGCTAAATCAGGACAAAATGAGCTTCTCACTCAGCAAGACTAAATGGATTCCTGCTCTTATCTCTTACATGGCTCTGAATATTATCCTCCTCTGTGCTTCACAAAGATCCACAGTGATCCCGCTGTTACCATAATCATTCTCAATATGAGCTGTGCAGACTTTTGTGTGTTTGTCTGTTTCTGGTGTCACCAGACTGTCAGGTCATAAGAATTCATGATATTGTCTGACAATGCCAGCACTCGAGTTACTTGCAGGTCATTTGTTCCAGAATGGTGCAGATGGCTAAAACTGAGGAGGATAACCATGGAAACCTGCAGCAATGAGACTTGAGGGAGAAATTATCTCAGAAAAATGGTCTCAAATGTCTGAAATAGTTAATGTGCCCTTGAACCCAATGAATCAGACTTCCTCTCGAAACAGATTAAAGTGGAAAATGTCTTTCTGTAATTTCTTTCTGCCCTGGTTTGACTTGGACATGTGTTTGTATCTCTGTATGAGGCTGCTGAGAGGTTCAGTCCTCCTCCAGGCTCAGACCATGTGTTCGCTCCAGGGAGACAGAGGGTTGACTCAGCACTCTTATTCTCTCAAAAATCATTTCATCTTGTTGTCTTTTCTCGCTTTCAGTCTGAGACCTTACTGTGTTTTTCTCCTGCAGAATACTGTAGCCTTTTCTTTGTGTCTCTTGTTTGACCTATGATTCTGCTCTTATTGCTACAGGATGCAATTATATTTTAAACAACCGTAAGAGGAAGGCCCGTTCCTTTTTCAACATGCCAGTGACCCCATGCACAAAGCCAGGGGACAGTTTCAAAGATATTTTAGACCAGGGCTGGGTGACCTGGAAACAATCAGATATTACAATATTTTTGATCAAATACCTCAATATCGATATTGCAGCAATATTAAGTTGACTATTGGTGCTTTCACAAAATATTTACACAGTGAATTTTTTTTTTGATAAATAATCATCAGTAATGTGGATATAATGACTAAGTGGGTAAAGGCAAATAATAAAAAAATTTACTGTAATGCTGCCTTTAAAACCAGGAAAAAACAACACTTCCAATTTCATGATTTCAATTTCAATCCCAAATCCCAAAAAACACCATATCCTGTCTCTTATAATGATATCGATATAACATTGATATGTTTCACAGCTCTATTTTAGACTGGTCTGTAGTTAGGGTCACCCTGCTTATTTTTTTGTTGTTGTTGTTGTTGACCACCACAGTAAATATACAGCAATGAGGAGTCACTTACATAAAATCTTTGCGTGCCCAGTAGAGCTGCCATTCATTTTATTATTGATTAATCTGCCAGTTATCTTCTTAATTAAAGGATCATTTGTTTCGTCTATGAAATTGAAGAGGCGTCATCAGTGGTTATCAACCTCATAGACATGTGTTAGAAGACAGCTGCTACACCTACTAGTAGGTTCAGAGGGTCGTTATCAGCCCAATAAAACTGTCACAGTTTTTAGGTTAAGGCACCAAAACCATGTGATTAGGTTTAGAAAAAAGAACATGCTTTGGATTAAAATGAGTATGGTCATTATGTAGTATAATGGGACATAGTTAGTTACAATAAGTCAGCGCTGAGTTTTGGTTTCACATGGTACACAAGCAGCTGTCTCTTGGGTCAAAGTTCTGTGTTTGTTTGACCCATCCACTCACCTTGACCTCCTCCATATACTCGCTTTATTCTTTGTCCCCTGACTTCCTCCTTTGCTCCCATCACAATTACTATTGCTACAAGAGGTCGCCATCTATGCTCCTGATGACAAATAATAATGGCAATTTCATGGGCTTTCTAAACCTACTAGCTGGTGCAACAAGCCCTTTTAACCCATATCTATGAAGCTGATAACCACTGATAACAACCATTCAGTTGAGTGATAACATTTGAAGTGTGGGCATTACCATCATAATTTGTTAAAGCCCAACGTGAGTGAAAAAAAAAATCTTTTATGAGGTTACCTCTTTTATGAGGTGCTCTGGTAGCTCACCTAGTAGAGCATGGGCCACATGTAAGCTGAGTTCTAGCAGTGGCACAGGTTTGATTCTGACCTGTGGCCCTTTGCTGCATGTCGTCCCCCCTATCTCTTCCCCTTCTACCCTCAGCCACTACATAATAAAAGCAAAAAAAAGTTAAAAAAAAAAAAAGAAAGAAAGAAAGAAAGAAAGAAAAAGAAATGATAATTAAATAAGACTTCTTCTGTCAAACCAACACTTCAAGAGAGAGAGAGAGAGAGAGAAGATCAGAAAATTCTCACCATTTGGAAGTTTTTAAAGGAGAATTGACTTTTAACAGTTAATGGATTATCAAGTAGATTCATGTATTTTTTCTGTTAATTTTTGTTCAAATGCAATTTCAATAGGTGAATGTGGCAAAAGCACATAGGTGACACAACATGATGAAACTTAAGAAGAAAAAAAGATGCATTTGAGAAGTGAAAATACACAGTATATAACACAAATGTCTCTGTCTTTACAGGTCAGAGAGGAGGAAGAAATTGGGTATGCTGAAGGAACCACAGAAAGTGAGTGACTGACATGATTGATTCTGATTGTTTGTCTGTACAAACAAAGGACAAACACACAAACACACATACTGTCCTTCTGTGAGCTGCATCACACCATACAACCCAAGCTTTTATTAGCAACCATATATTTATCCCCATCTGCTATCTTTTATACACCAGCAGCTACACTCCATTCAGTATTTCATCTCTCTCTCACACACACACACACACACACACACACACACACACACAGAGTTCCATCTTAGTAAATGCCATGTGTGTCATGTAGCTGTACTTCATCAGATTGCTGAATGAACTTCTCCCTGTAGCCACGTGTGCCTGAGTGTGTGTGTGTGTGCGTGCGTGCGTGTGTATGCGTGTGTGTGCGTGTGTATGTGTGTTTTTTCATTAGCGTTGCTCTGCATCAACAGTATTGATTGTGTAATGGAGGGGGAGAGGGGCTCGTCTGTTGATTCACTGTTGCCAGTTGGACCTGATGTTTATCTTGTCAGCTAGCTGTCGCTACGCTAACATCAACTTGGAGCAGGCAGAGGACAGAGAGGTGGAAGAGGAAGAAGAGGAGGAGGAGGGGAGGAGAGGGAGGACACTTGTCTGATTAAAGAAGAACAAACCCTGCGAAATTTGCCAGAGCCATGTTTATAATATGAAATATATTTTTAAAATTCATTGACAAACTCTTCACTCTTTTTTTTACAATAAAGTACATTACTTTTTGAAAAGCCACAAAAACAGGGATGAGGTCACACACAGTGGATAAAGAGGATTGAGCCCCTGCTCCTCTGTACTCTCTCCCCTCCAGACTGAATGAATAATTAAATGTTATTACTGCATTACGGACATAATTGTTGTTGTTCCCACTGCTGTTTTATTTTCTGCTAATTGGGAGAGCACTTCTGTTCATGGCCCAGTTTAAAGATGTAAATGTTGGCATTCATTTCTTTTAGTGATTAAGTTAAGTAGGTTACAGCTGCTCAACAATATGATAACAGTTTATATCAGACCGAATGACTTGTCACTTTTGGTAACTGTTGGTGAACCTGTGAGCTAAATTAAAGCTAAATAATTAAAACATTCATTAGGACAAATGATATTGCTTAAATGACATTCTGTAAGTACGCAGAAGTTATTCAGAGGGGATGCATACTTAAAACTGAGCCACTGCCCATTCAAAATGTCTGTGCATGCCCCTGGTATTCAGTATATAGGGCATACTGCATTTACTTTGTATATGAATAATTAAGACAAAACTTCTGTTTCAATTCTGAATACATTAACAGAATAAGCAAATAGACTTTAACTGAGATGAAGGTTTAGAAATAAAGCATTGTTGTAACCATTTGCCTTAGTAGTGGGTGAAGCATTGTAAATTAATACTCAAAGTTAGCATTCAGGATAATATCTTAAAAACCAGAACCTCAATTTACACAGTAATCTATTGCAGTCATAGTCATTCAAAAGATGATTAGCTACTGAAACGAAACAAGCAGAAGAATCATCAGCAGACATTTCCTGTCTTCTTGTTTTGTTAATAGAAGGACACGGTAAATATTGACAGTGTCATCTTCAATGTTATTAACCACTGAAAAAGAAAATTAAGTTTGATGTAGATTTGGTCTGTATAGAACAGATTGTCCTGCCGTAAAACAGTTTCCAATTAAAGACTGTTGAGCCCCATTTTAGAGCCCATTCGCATTTAAAGTACATCAGTTAAAAAGTGACAAAAAATTGCAGTAACAAGATGCCAAAGATATGTTTAAGGTATCAAGAAGGGTCTGTTCAATCTTCATAATACTGATTTCTATTAGTTTAATTTTTTATAAGTATTTGTCCAAAACGTGTATGTGTTGTTTGTTAAAAATGTTTTTTATTTTTTTAATTTGTCTCTTTGGCCTCTAAATGCTAGTTGCTAACTGTCTGTGTTCATCTGCTGTTTGGTGCTAAACAGTAGCGCATAGAGTGCTGCAGGGATGACAATGTTTTGTAGGCCGCCGTGGAAGTAAGCATCATTACAGAAAATAAGCTCTGCTGCAAAATCGAAATCAAAATCCTTGAACGTGTCGTCGCCTCACAAATCAAATCCCACCTCAACAATAATGACCTCTTCGAACAATTTCAATCTGGATTCCGCACACAACACAGCACCGAAACTGCCCTCCTTAAAGTCACAAACGACCTCCTCCTCTCCTCAGACTGCGGCCTACTCTCCATCCTCATCTTTCTTGATCTCACCGCCGCCTTTGACACCATCAACCCCTCCATCCTACTCTCCCGCCTGCAAACCCTCCTCAACATCACTGACAATGTCCTCACCTGGCTACATTCCTATCTCACTGACAGAAAACAATTCATCTTCATCAACAACTGCTCCTCCTCAACTGCCCCCCTGTCCCAAGGCGTCCCCCAGGGTTCGGTGCTTGGTCCTCTCCTCTTCATCCTCTACCTCCTCCCCCTTGGTCAAATCATCCGTCGTCATGGTCTCTGTTTTCACTGCTATGCTGACGATATCCAGCTATACATCTCCACTAAATCCATCACTCATTTAACCCACTCCACCCTGTCAAACTGTCTCTTTGAAATTAAATCCTGGATGCAAGCAAACTTTCTTAAACTCAACTGTGACAAATCAGACATGATCCTAATTGGTCCAAATTCCCTCACCCAAACAGCCAAAGACTTCCACCTCACCATCAACAACTCCACCCTGTCCCCCTCCCCTCACTGCCGCAACCTTGGTATCATCTTCGACAGCAACCTCTCCTTCAACCAACACATCAAATAAGTCACTAAAACAGCCTTCTTTCACCTTAAAAACATTTCTCGCCTCCGCCCCTCACTCTCTCGCAATGCTGGCGAAGCCCTGATCCATGCCTTCATTACATCCCGCCTTGACTATTGCAATAGCATCCTTTATGGCACAACCTCCAAACTCCTCAGTAAACTCCAATATATCCAAAACTCTGCCGCCCGCCTCCTCACTCACACCCGCTCCTGCGACCACATCACCCCTGTCCTTCAGAACCTCCACTGGCTCCCTGTTCCACAACGCATTCACTTCAAACTCCTCCTACTCACCCATAAAGCCCTCCACAACCAGGCCCCCTCTTACCTCACAGACCTGCTCCACCCTTACACCCCTTCCTGCAGCCTCCGCTCTTCCAATGCCAACCTTCTCACCCTCCCCAAGACCAAGCACAGAACCTGGGGGGACAGAGCCTTCTCCGTTGCTGCCCCCACCCTCTGGAATTCCCTCCCAAAACTCATCCATGACTGCACTGACCTCCCATCATTCAAATCACTACTCAAAACTCACCTGTTCCATTCTGCTTTTAATGTTTAGCTATTTTTATTCATTTACTTAAGCCTATTTATTTGTTTTTTCACTCCCATTACTATTCCTCTTTGTCTTCGATGTCTTTGCTGAAAATTGTTTTTTTGATGTGTTTGAACTGTCTCTGTAAAGTGACTTTGAGAACTTTGAAAAGCGCTTTTTAAATAAAATGTATTATTATTATTATCATTATTATTATTATTATTAAACATTTTTGATACCTAAACATTTTATTCGGCAAGATAATCCTCACGAATGAAGCCTTGTTCGTGACAATCAAAGCTTAAATGCAATCGCCAGGAGTAAAAAGCTAATGTTAGGCTATGAACGAACTACACTAGACCTGTCACATGACTTAACGTCACCACCATAACAAGACTTGAAGCCATGTTTGGTATGATGACGTGCTGTAGTCTCAATTAGCCACTTGTTAGCAACCGCCTAGTTTAAGACACGTAAAAGCTTCAAAGTTTACAAGCAGGGTATTTACTGACATATTTCCTGTCATAGAATAAAACGTGAAAGTCTCCTCAGCTTGTGTTAACCACAGACCTTATTTTGGGCCCTGTACAAAAAAACCCCTTTACTTCAAGACGAGGGAACTGGAGTGATAAAATGCTAACTCATTTCCTGGTTCTTGGACTCATCCCTGGGGCTCTCTGTTGGTATTGGTCAAAAATGGTAAATGGACTGCATTTATAAAGCACACTCACAGTCTCAGTGACCACTTAAAGCACTTTACAGCACAAGCACCATTCACCCATTCATACACTGGTGGCTGCTCATTAGATTAACATTCACATACATTCACACTTGGGATTCAATATTCCACCAAGGACACTTCAACATGTAGACTGCAGGGGCCAGGGACTGAACCATCGACCCTTCAGTTTATAGAGAACTGCTCAACCTCGTGAGCCACAGCTGCCTAGAAGATGCCGTTTAAGTCTGGTTCTAGTTTGTTCATATAAGCGAAGAGGCTCATTAATATACAATGTATTACTAATTCATCTAAAAAAGTTGATGATGTTAATAATATCAATTAATTTATCATTTAAAGAACAGCTTGTAAATAGGCTGGCTGATAAAATGGTAATAAAAAGAGGGGAATAATAGAGCAGACCTCAGGAGTGTGTGTGTGTGTGTGTGTGTGTGTACACAGTATGCTGTATGTGCTGCATGTGTTGATCTGCACTGCATGTTAAACTCTGATTTTCTTTCCTCTGACAGTTTATTTTACAGAACAGAGGAAACCAAAGGTCATCTTCATGATGGGTACGTGCACACAACACATACACACACCTCAGCACTGGTGGAGCCTACCTCATTAGGAGCAGCTGAAAATGCACACACAGACACAGGCAAGATAGTAATGAGCAGCTGCTGACTGCTGGGCTGGTTGTTAGTTAAACTGGCCACACACACACACACACACACACACACACATACACAGGGAGGCAGAAAATAGTACCGATCAGTTGATCAGCTGCTTTGACATTTCTGCACGTTTCAAGTGAAACTCAGACAGTTGTAGCTCTGATGAAAAAGCTGCGTTCAGAAGCGTCGCTGGAGAGAAAACGACAGATGTTTTGTTCTCAGAGGCTTTTGCTCGTTGCAGACGACAATGGAAAGTTCATGAAGTAATTTCAGAAAGTTTTAGCAGAAAAGATGGCTCCTGTAGAACTTAACAGCTTGTTTCAACACCAGAAAAGAAGACACTGATTATTACATGAAGAGAAGAGACGTAGTGGAAGATGTAAAATACTAGTGATAAAAACAATATTTTAGGCGAGTCTTTTTTATTGTCATCTCATATATTTTGTAGATTTTATGCTGAAAATTCAACTTCAAAGTTTCTTTTCATAAGCAATGTATGCTTATTTATCATGCACTACCAATGGGTGTGTTTATTGTGGAGTAATTAACTCCTCTTATTTTCAAGATGATCTGTTTTGACATGTAGGCTATTACCTCTGGCAGGTTTGATGGTTTTACCCCGTTTCAGGTGATTAAATTCTTTTGCTAACCGTGTGATAAACATTTTGACCCAGCAAAGATCCATCTGGGATCAAAATTTGTTTTGTGTAAATAAATCAGGAGTCAGTGTGCAGCTGTAACAGTTCACGTAATGTTGGTTTCCAGCAGCTTTGCACCTGTAAGTCATTTGCATATAATTACACTCCTTCTTCAGTTTGGGGCTATTTTCCTGCTCTCAGATCAGTTGAAGGATAAATGCTCCTACACAGGTAGCGAACATGCCTGAATTTCTTTGGATAATCCTTAAATCTAAAATAAAATTGTGTCATGAGCTGAAACGAGGCTGTTTATTAGAATTCCTCATAAACTGAAGGAGCACAATGTAGATAACTGTCATTTATCAAGCGAAAAAACCAAAACAATTACAGGTTTAAGGATCTTAAATGTGAGGATTTTTTATTTTTCTCTGTTTTGTGTCACTGTGGATTGAGTATCTTTGGGGTTTTAGACTGTTGATCAAACACAGCAGACTCTTTGAATGTGTTATCTCACACTCTGGGACTTCTGATGGTCATTTTCTACAAGTACGAGTATGATTAAAAAATAATGAAATGAATAATGAAAAATCCTAATCTTCAGCATGAACTATATAATGTGGTGATATCTCTTATGCTGCCATTTTGGGCAGGTTTCTCCTTTTCTCTCTTATTCTAGTGAAATGAAAGTCTCACAAAAATGAAATACTCAAACACTACTGCTTCAAAGTTCTGCTCAGGTGCAGCAGATGAGTAAATGCACTCATTTACTTCCACCCTCTGGAGCCAGAGTTTGAGTGTGTTTCTTTGTGATCAATTAGTATGCTGTGACAGTGAAGCAGTGTGGCTCAGTCCACTAATTGAGGCCTAGACAGAGAGACGAAGGTTAATGAGAGATCTGGGACTCAGAGTCTCCCTTACCCACCGTTCACTTCGCCACCACTGGAAATCACTAAAGATTCAGTCATTAAAAGACTGTTTCTTTCACATGGCTATGTGTGTTAGTGTAAAAAAACTTTCCATGAAAACCAGCATGACAAATCCCCACTGATCTGTACTAACACCAGTTTGTGTGAATGTTTGAGAAACAGACGTCGAAGTTAGACCAGGGGTTTTTCCTCAGCAGGGGCAGATAATTGGGGGAAAATGCCAACAGCATATAAAACATTAGTCAACTTGCATGTGTCTCCTGAGCAGATTTTAGAGCATATAATGAAAGGTTGGCAACATCAGCTAACACATTTAGGATTTTATTCTGCTTATAACCTTCAGCGTGTTCTAAGAGAAATAGAGATTCATCAGAGCAGTAAATGGTTTACAGCTTTCATCACAGCATCAGTTTCTCCTGCTTTAACTTTTAATTGTCACTGTTATAAACTGAGCAGCTGTTGTCTTCATGCATGTCTGTACTATAGCTGTTACCCTGAACTATCACTGTTCTCTTTAGATCTCTCTTAAACCTTTCACTGTTCAGCCTGCAGGTTGCCAGAGGCAATATGTGAGACAATTCACAGGCAGGTCGCACTATGACATGTTAGATGAATATGAACATGTTACATATGTAGTGTCTTTTTAAAAAGAACAACCTTACAAAAACATAGTAATAATAAATAGTAATGATAAAATCATGTTTCTGTCCATCAGGTGAGTGTAAGGCCAATATCCACTATTCTTTTCGCCTTGTTTTTGGTCTCCACCGACTCCTCAGGGAAACATCTGTCTCTTTCGCTGCTAAATGCTCCATTATGTACGCTGATTAGTTGCTAACTAACTGTGTCCATCTACTATTTGGTGCTGAACAGTAGCATATAGAGTGCTGCAGGGATGACGTTGTTTTGTGGGCTGCTGTGGCAGTTGGCATTGCCTTGGTTCTCTTGACAAAAAAACAATGGAATTTTTCTCATTGGATTTTGGATTATTGCAGAAATAAGCTCTGTGGTGCTCTGAGTACCTACACGTTTTGTTTAGCAAAATAATCTTCACAAAAGAACGCCACTTTATGATTCTTTAAGTATAAACGCAATTGTGAAGAGTAACAAGGTAATGGAAACAGAACACAACTCTGAAAACTATGCTCACCAGAGGAAAAAACAAATGGCACCATAATATGCAACTGAGGGCTGAAATGTTAGCAAAAACAGTAGATATCAGCATGTCAAGGGTTTATTCAAACATCTCGTGTCTACCAGAGAGAAAATGTTGTTAAAAAAAAACTGTCTCAGTGTCTTCCTCTCCATACATTTCTTAGCATGGAGAAATTATCCCACTAAACGGCCAGTAGTGATATACTTTGATATTTACAGCTATTTGATCGAATCACTGGGTAAGATCAGCATGTAAGCTAACAAAGATCAAAACCAGGCCTTGCAAAGCTTACTTATCTTCACCCTCTACAGTTTGTCTGGCCAAATTACCTAATGCTGATGACTCATGCCTACATCCACTTTTGTCCTCTTAAAAGTTCTGATTTTAATTCAGCACCTTTTAATTACTTAGATCTGGGTTCTTTGCCCTGTTGGTAGTGCATCCCATCACACAGCAGCTTTTAGACATTTTTCTGTTGTTTGGGAGCAGAGGGGAAAGACAAGGAGGCACCTTCACTCAGTACAAAGTCATTGGAGAGCAATAAAGTTTTCCTCTCCGATGGGGGCAGGACTTCAGTGCGCTTTGTCTCTGTAAACAAACTACACTACCATCACATGACCAAACGTCCTCTCCACAACAAGGCTGTAAAGCCATGTTTGGTCTGAGGAGACTCTGTAGTCTCATTTAGCCGCTTGTTAGCAACTGCCTTTTGAAGACACATAAAAGCCTCAAAATGAATAGGGTGTTTACTGACATTTTTTATGTCATACAACAAAACGAAAAATGAAAATCTCTTGAGCTTGTGTAAACAACAGACCTTAGTTCAGGCATTTAACCAAAAACCCATTCAAGAAACCCATCGACTTTTAGACAAGGGAACTGGAAGTGCAGAAATGCTAACTCATGTCTGTATTGTAGGACCCATTCCTGCAGAACTCGTGGGTTTATCGGAGCTTTAACTCTGAAATTAGCTGCGGCTGAAAATTGGGCTGATGAGAGCAGTAAGACTGAACCAAATCATTAGAGCTGTGGGCCAGAAAATCCAAATAATGAGCTATTGTAGAGGCAAAAATCGGCGCCTGGAAGTGGGCCTGTAGGCTCCCGACCTTGTCCTCCACTTGACTTTTCTGTTTGCCTTTGATGTAGATCTGATACCTTGGAGTCAGCTAAGTAATACTCACAGAAACACTGGAGACAGGCAGAGTCCGATGTAATCGAGTTTAATGTGTTCACAAGCTTTAACACATACAACTCAGTGAGTCACGCTCCGGAGCAGGACTAAAGTTTCACTTTCTGAGGTGCTCCTTTTATGCTGGTGGAGATTCAGGATAATCTCCACCTTCTTTCTTTAGCCCTTCCTACCTGAGTCCAAACCTATTGGTGGTCGGCCTTTTTGCCTTTGTCCAGACTTGCCCGAACATGCCCAGGCATGTTTTAATGGTGTATCATTTTCCATAGGCCTATGAATCCCCAGATTCTCCCACCATTAGGTTAGAACTCAGGGTTACACTATTTTTAAAAAATATATAGAACTCAGGGACTATTTCTATAAGTCCCTTGTGCCTTTATGCAATATAATCTTTTAATATGCATCAGGTAATACAAACACTTGGGTGTATGTGTGACAGGTTATGTGTGTTCTTTTTAGCATGGATACAATGTGAACTTATATTATGAATACTTTGTTATGTATGACAATGTTTTAACACATATAGATGCATTTCACTCAGTGTTATAAGAACTTATGCATAAAACATGGTTATATCTTGGTTATATGACTTTTTCTTAATCAATTTATGCAGTATATCACTTTTACTGGATTAGGGATTAATTCTTACACTACACTATAAAATGCTAAAATGTCCTGTAGTGCTGAGGGGAACTGAAGAGTTGGGTGATGATGACTTTCTCTGGATCTACACACTTCACATTACACACAGTCATTTCATCCACTGTTATTATAAAAAAAATATTGCAGCTTTGAAAATAGAGTGTGCCCCTAAAACCAAAGCAACTGGGTAGTCTAATAAGGTAGCAAATCCTTGCAAACCTAATACCTAAACTCATGGCAGGTCAAATCAACATAAATAGCTCATTTATTTTAACTTAAGTGGACCATCCCTCTAATACAGCCACTGCAGTTTTTGAGAAAAAATGGACACAATAATGTATAGCCTA